CTTTTGAGGGCAGAACTATATTAAAAATGTATGTAACATAAAACAGTGTTTAGCCATTTTAAATAACAATTCAGCGGCATCCACACATTTGCCTTGTGTGGCTACCATCTCTGTCCATCTCTAGAACCTTTCATGAGCCTCACATTGAAACTGTACCCACGACACTGTAAATTCCCACCGACTTTCCCATCAGACCCTGGGAATCACCGTTCTGTTATCTGCACGTCTATGAAGCTGGCTCTTCAAAGTGCTTCACCTAACTGGCGCTGGGGTCATACAATCCTTGCCCTTCCGTGTCTGGCTTCTTTCATTTAGCATATTTTTGAGGTTTTTCCTAGTAGGCTACCCTGAGGGTTTTATTAAGATTTGCTTTTATTTGTGTATGACGTATGTGCATATCCATGGAGACCTGAAGAGGATCTTGGACGGATGATGAGCTGCCAGTGTTTGTTCTAGGAATAGAACTTGGGTCCTCTGTAACAGCAGCCAGCGCTCTAACCATTGAGCAACCTCTACGGCTCCTAGCACACGGAGTTTTCAAGATGGCTTGATTTTGAACCACAAGGGCCTCTCTTTGGTACAGACTTCAGGTGGCTGCTGGCTTTCCAATTACAGGAAGCCAATCACTCCCTCATTCTCCACTGTCAGGTTCCTTGCCGCAGACTTTCGAATACAAGATGCGGCCCAAGGAAAGTAACTGGAAATTCCGTGTGATTGCCACACATCATGTCGCTCCAAGTTAACTTCAACAGTAGAAGATGAAGTACGGACTCATTTCTTCCAACAGAATTTTTATACGCTATGCCCCTTGCATCTCTGAGAAACTAAAAAACTCCGAAGATGGTTTTCTTCCCCCAGGGGACTGCCTAAGGAATCTGAGGAATCTCTTCTGGAAGGAATTCATTCACGCTTGGAATAGAGAGAAAAAGATTCGGAAGATAGCCAGAAAATGCAGAAAACATTGGAGCTGTTTGTTCTAGCTTGACTAAAGGACCACATTGGGAGCCACAAGCTGACAGCTGCCAACTTGCTCTTCTAGGAGGAATCACTGTTTAAGGTCACCTGCTCTTGGTTTCCGGATGCCACCTCAATCACAGGGGCTGCCACCTCCCCCCTCCACTCCAGCCCCCAGAATCCCCATAGACTGAAAACCTCTAGATACAAAGAACAGGGGTAAGGAGAGTCACAAAAATAACGACCAAAAACAAAACCAAAGAATCAAAGGCAGTAGGAGCTGGCTCCTTAGCCAGACCTGGATGTGGAGAAAATCTGGGGTGGGCAAAATTGCTAATAGTTTCAAGACCCATTCTGTTTTGGTTTCTTTCTTTCTTTCTTTCTTTCTTTCTTTCTTTCTTTCCGTTTCGTTTTTTTTTTGTTTGTTTGTTTTGTTTGGCTTTTTGAGACAGAGTTTCTCTGTGTAGCCTTAGCTATCCTGGAACTCACTCTGTAGACCAGGCTAGACTTGAACTCAGAGATCTGTCTTGATTCTGCCTTCCAAGTGCTGGGATAAATGTCATCACTGCCAGGTTTTTAAGACTTGTGATCTTAAGCTTAAGAAGCAAACGAAAGTTAACATGATTATGAAAAACAAATTGCATAACAGGACAATGGACTTGGGTTGTTTTCAGAACAACTATTATACCTAAAAATGCCTTTCATCTTTAAAACTTTTAACTCAAACTCACTAAGTGCAATACTCATGGATGTATTTAAGCGCGCTGGCCTCTTTGTTTTAAAGAAGCATTAGATAAAATAATTAAATATTTATTCGAGTATGGATGGTACTTAATGGATCATCCAGGTGCCGAAACATAATTGCTCGGGATTTTGTTTGTCTTACGTTTGTAAAGCGTGTATAAAAACACACATGTGTATAACATATTGCATACTTATGCATGTAACTGTATATGTACTATATATGTGTATGAGTAGCCTTAGATTCTTGATTTGTTAGATAAAGGTTACAAGCTGCCTTAACTTGCAAATGGAGAATTTCAATTAAAGGCCAGCATTTTATGTCTTTAACACGAAGACCCTGTGCTATTTTGCAGTACTTATACAATGGCCCGGATGTTCTAGGTCTTGCCAAAGTGCACTTTATACAACTTTGTACGTTATCCCTATGTAAATGATAACAGATACCATGAAACTGTCTAACAGAAAGACTTCTTTCTTGGCTTCCTACAGCCACAAGTATAAAAAGCAGCACGGGTAATGAGGGGAGTGTGGTTCAGTGATCCAGTGCTTACTTAACATTTGAGACGCCCAGGTTTGGCTCCTAGATACCATGAAAAAGAGACATTTTGTTTCTGGCAATGAAAGCTTTCTTAGGGGGATGAAAAAAAAGAGATGAACTTTAGGTTTACACCTAGAAATAACTGTATTGGGTTATTTTGTTATGGTGGTGGTGGATTTGGGGTGGGGGTTGAGAGTGGTTTTTGTTTGTGTTTGTGGTTTTTTTTCAACTCTCACTCCCCCAGAAGCCCCCAACATGTCCTCCCCACCCTCTCATCCTCTCTGAGAGCAACCGCTATTTCACGTCCAGGAGGCGTGAAATGTTCTTCCCTGTCCTCCAGCTCTGACATTCTTTCCGCCTCCTTCTCCTCGGTGTCCCCGGAGTCTTAGGGTGAGGGGGAGTTTGACACTGGTGTCCTGTTAAGGGCAGGCACGTGAGGGCTGTTTGGTGATATTAGCCAGCTTTGCTCCCCTTGCCTCATCCCCTACTGGACCAATACTAGCAATGGTTTTAGCTACAGGCCTCCGTGATGTGTATTCCCCTCTGTGTGCTGTTCTTTTACATCTGCTGTCTCAGGAGACAAGAAACAAAAAGAATATAAATCAATATTTCTTTTCTTTTCTTTTTTTAAATTTGAGACAAAGTCTCACTCTGTACTCTAGGCTAGCCTGGAATGTATTATATAGCTGTGGCTGGACTTGAACACACAGCAATCCTCCAGTCTCAGTCTCCCTAGTGCTGAGCCACGCCCCCTAAAACATAGATATTTAAACATAAATAATAAGAAACTTTAAAATGACAGCAATTCTAAAAGCCCACTCAAAGGTGTTCTTTACCAGACACAGCCTTCACTTGTTTGATCAAAATATTTGATCCCATTTAAAATTTCTCCATATAAGCAAAAACTGATTTAGAAAATTTATTCTGATTTTTTTTTCAATTAGAATAAAATAACTTATTTCTGGAGGGGTGGAGAAAGAGCTGCCAAGCTCAGTCTAATCCACATACCTACAAAATCCTAAGAATGATCCAGTGTAATAAACCCAAACAAAGTAACGAGCCATAAAAGTAGCTTTAGTCTATGTACCATCAGATACAGTTTCATTACAATTTGTCTCTTAACCATCTCCTATCCTCAGAAAAAAACACAAGAATGAGTTTTAGATTTAGTTGTCGAGAAATATGCTTTCCCCTACATGATCATTAAAAAGCAAATTAAAGAGAGTGTGTCTAGAGTCTACAGAAAACATGAAAACTTGTGTATGGATAATACTTAAGACTAACTCAAATGAACCTTATAATCCATATTTAATACTATGATCATTTATAGAAAAATGTTTTACTTAAAATGTCTCCCTTATTGGGCTGGAGAGATGGCTCAGAGGTTAAGAGCACTGGCTGCTCTTCCAGAGGTCCTGAGTTCAATTCCCAGGAACCACATGGTGGCTCACAACCATCTGTAGTGAGATCTGGGGCCCTCTTCTGGTATTCAGGCAGAACACTGCATAATAAAAGAATAAAAAAAGTCTTCCTTGTTATGGCACACAAGAATGGCAGAATAAATAAGGGAGGAACTGGAGAGATGACTCGGAGGTTAAGAGTGCATAGCGCTCTTTCAGGGGACTTGGGTTCCATCCCCAGATCTACATGGAAACTTACGACAGTGTATAACTTCAGTTCCAGGGGATCTGATGCGCGATTTCTTGCCTCCATAGGCACCAGACACATATTTGGTGGACATACATCCATGCAGGTACTCAGACATACACATAAAAAAAATCTTTAAAAAATAAAAACTTGCAGAATGAATTAGCTAGTGAAGGAAACCTACAAAGAGGAAGGTCTGCTTCATTGTAAACCCCTAGGAGCCAAATGGTTGAGAGAGCGAATCAGACATGCTTAACAACATTCTTCTAGCAGGAGTCAAAAGCAAGCCGTCTGTATAATTGCAGAGCCACTTAGGAGCCCAGCAGTGACAACTCCTGGTTCCTTTATGGCTTATTTTAAGACTTGCTGCATCATCAGCCTCTTAATATAGAGGGCGAAGCCATGGGTTAGCTCACCAGAGAATCTGAGTCAAATTCTGACTCTGTAGAAGTTTTAAAAGTGCCTAGACCGATTGATTTGGTTTAATGTTCCACACTTTTACATGTACAAGCATGATATCTTAGAAAGTAATCTATGCTTAATTAAATTTATAAGTACTCTTCCAGTAAGGAGGAAATAAAGTTTGACCACGTCGTAATAGGATTTGCAAAGTGTGTGTGTGTGTGTGTGTGTGTGTGTGTGAAAGAGAGAGCGAGTAAGGGTTGCAATGTTTTCTCCTCCTGATAGTGCCTCCCAAAGACTAGGAGTATAGGTGTGCACCCTTCAAACATTTTGAAGGTTTTAATTGACACCGAATAATTGTATGTAGTTATGAAGCAACACGCTTTTCTCTCTTAATGGCACATACACAGCATCTTATGCTGATAGCATCTTAGGTTTAATGGTTTAAATTGGGGATTTGGGGCTTTCCCACCCCACAGAACAGGGAGTCAGTCAGCTTGGGTGACTTAAGGTTTGTAACTGGAACCTGCTTCTGAGTGTTACTAGCTAAATATCTGCTTTTACTCTCCTCATTTAGAAACTTTCCTGGCTCTGGGTTTTTAGTAACACGTGGCCCCTATTTAAGAGTATCCCAAGCATTTCTCAGAAGGAGACGTTGTAGATGTTAGGTTTTATGTGAGCAGGCTCCTTATAAATATCTCGCTTCCTTTGCTAGGGGCGCCGGCTGCATCTTTATTGAAATGTTCCAGGGTCAACCTCTGTTTCCTGGGGTTTCCAACATTCTGGAGCAGCTGGAGAAGATCTGGGAGGTAAGACAAAAATTCCTTATAAGAAAAAAAAGAAATACCTCCATTACAAACTTGGAGTCAGATTTGCCTTAGAGACGACTGAAAGAACCCATCTGCTCTGGACGCTGAGCTGCACTTAAGGAAGCAGAGACTTGTTTGCGACAGAATCGAGCTGCTTCAGGATGGTTGCCTGGGGAATTCCCTGCCGTCCCACGCCAGCCTATAAGCTGCTCCACTGAAGACATTTGGGTCTCCTGCTTCCTGTTATTAGTAGTATTTTCTCAGTTCTCAGCAGCCTTTTCTGTCCCGGCTCTGCCAGCCTTCACTTTAATTCTACTACAGATTTGGACTGAATCTTTACCAACAGGAGACAGGACACCGAATTTTTCTAGAACCTCATAAAACGCACTTCCCATGTTAGGTAAGGGAAGTATAGAATTTGTCATGCCCATGCCCAAGAGCATGATGCCTAAAATGCTAAAGACCATGGTGTGTGCACATATCTGTATGAATGTGTGTGTGAGCATGGGTGTGTGTAGGGTGTGCATATGTGTGTGCATATGTTGCTATGAATGTGTGTGTACCCGCGTGTCTGTATGAATGTGTGTATAAATGTGTGCATGCATGTCTATGAATGTGTGTGCATGTGCATATAAATGTGTGTGTACTCGCATGTCTGTATGAATGTATGTGTATAAATGTGTGCATGCGTGCATGTCTGTATGAATGCATGTGAATGCGTGTATAAATGTGTGCAAGCATGTATATCTGTATGAATGTGTGTGCACATGTGTACAAATGTGTGCAAACATGCATGTCTGTATGAATTGTATAAATGTATGTGTATGAATGTATGTGTATGAATGTATGTGTGCATGTGTGTATAAATGTGTGTGCTCACATCTGTATGAATGTGTGTGCATGCGTGTATGAATGTGTGCATGCGTGCATGTCTGTATGAATGTGTGTGCATGTATGTGTATGAATGTATGTGTGCATATGTGTATGCTTCCATTTATTTCTTTATTATTTTCTCTATTTGCACTCTGATGTGCTTTGCTTTTCTTTGCTCTGTAGTCAGTGATATAGTCATACTGTATATTTATCCCCTCTTTTTTATGATTTTTCCTATTTTGGTAAAGTATACCTAAAACTTGCCAGGTTGGTCAATTTGTACCAAGTTACAAATAGATTTGATGCATTAAGTTTGGCCATCAATGCCAAATAGATTGTAGGTAACCATAGTGTTCTGTATATTTTTTTAAAGACAAGAAAGGCTACTAACTTTTTTTAATCACAAAGAAATGAATGACCAATGTTAGCCAAGCAGGGGTGGCGCACGCCTTTAATACCAGCACGTGGGAGGCAAAGGCTGGCAAATCTCTGAGTTCAGGACCAACCTGGTGTACAGAGCGAGTTTAAGGATAGCCAGACCTACACAGAGAAACCCCGTCTTGAAAAAAACAATGCAGGGGCTGGAGAGATGGCTCAGTGGTTAAGAGCATTGCCTGCTCTTTCAAAGGTCCTGAGTTCAATTCCCAGCAACCACATGGTGGCTCACAACCATCTGTAATGAGGTCTGGTGCCCTCTTCTGGACTGCAGGCATACATGCAGACAGAATATTATATACGTAATAAATAAATAAATATTAAAAAAAGGGAAAAAAACAATGTAGACTAACAGCAAGAAAAGAAATGATCATTGTTTGAGAAGACAGATAAATGTATCCTGATATTAACTGTACACAGTGCAGACTTCACCTCAGACTATAGGATGACTCCCTGGGTAAGGGCGGTTGTTGCCAAACCTGAGAACCACAGCTCCATCTCCCAACACCATGGAAGAGAGAACTCCCACAAATTGTCCTCTGACTTCCACACACAACCACAACGCACATAATAAATGGAATTTTAAGACAATCACATAGCACCCAATAAGCACTCTGGAACAATGAAAATAAAAGGAGATGGGAAATGTTACTGTTTTAGCCATTAAATGTTACCGTTCACTACAGTCAGCCCTGTGGCGCTGTGGGGCCAGCATCTCTGCGATCATTCCCAGCACTTTTGAATCATCCCAAACAAAAGCTTTGCAGCCATAAGCACAGTCCTGTCTAGCCTACCCAACTCGGCCCCTGAGAATCTCTTGTCTGCTTTCTGTCTCTATGAATTTGTGAAATAGCACACACCTTACACCACTGGACTTAGATAGCGACAGTCTTTCTGGGTCTGGCTTATTTCACGTACTATGTTTTCAAGGTTCATTCATGTTGTATACGCATCAAAGTACTTTACACTAGGGTTTTTATCAGTTGTGAAGCTCGCTCCAGCTCCTTGTCTCCTGATGAAGATAAAAATGTACCATGAGGCACAAAGACATTGTAAATAAGTTAATCACTAATATTAAACTTTATTTTGGCCACCTGGAGGATATTTTGGGAAACCTAGGACAAAATAGGAAACATTTATTCACAAACAAACAGGTTGTTTTCAAGCCAAGGACTTTTTTCTTTCTCTTTCTTCCTCTCATTCTTTTGTCCTTCCTTTCTTTCTTCCTTCCTTCCTTCCTTCCTTCCTCCCTCCCTCCCTCCCTCCCTCCCTCCCTCCCTCTCTTTCTTTCTTTCTTTCTTTCTTTCTTTCTTTCTTTCTTTTGTGTTGTAGTTTTGTTTTGTTTTGTTTTGAGACAGGGTTTCTCTGTGTAGCCTTGCTTGTCCTGGAACTTGTTCCATAGTCCAGGCTGGCCTTGAACTCACAGAAGTCCACCTGCCTCTGCCTTCAAAGTGCTGGGATTAAAAGTGTGTGTCACTACCACGCAGCCAAAAGACTTTTTCTTAGGAAGAGAGATAAACGTTACTTTGAATCATACTATTGGATACTATATCATCATCTCAGCTGGCGGTGATTAATTCATGGTTACTTTGAATCATACTATTGGATACTATAACATTATCTCAGCTGGAGGTGATTAATTCATGGTTACTTTGAATCATACTATTGGATACTATAACATCATCTCAGCTGGAGGTGATTAATTCATGGTTTTTCTTGCCACTTATTAGACATGGATGTGGACAAAGCTCAAAAGTACCTCTTAAGTTTTAGTTTTCTCATCTATAAGATGAGGTTAATCATATGATTTTGTAACCCTGTTATGGGACTTATTAAGATGAAATGTTTAGCAAAACCAGAGCACTGTTTTGTAAATATTTGTAGGACTGGAGAGATGGCTCAGTGGGTAAAGGCCCCTGTTGACAAGGCTGGAGGCCTGAGTTCAATCCCTGGGACCCACATGGTGGAGGAGAAGAGTTGACTCTTATGGGTTGTTCTCTCTCTCTCTCCCTCCCTATCTCTCTCTTTCTCTCTCTCCCCTCTCTCCCTTCCTCCCTCCTTCTCTCTCTCTCTCTCTCTCTCCTTCCTTCTCTCTCTCTTTCTCTGTCTTCAGTGCTGTTCCTCCTTGTCCATAACCAAGAGAGAACCAAGTAGTATCACTAGTCTTCACCCTGCAATGGCCCTTTACACATACGAAGGGTTTTTTTTTACCTAGATATGTAATATTTATTGGACATTAACCATATAAAAATATTCTTTGGTGACTAAGAGAACAAGCAACAAGGGACAGGAAAAAAGGGAATATAAAAAATGTGTTTTGTAGTCAGAACAGAGTGATGAATGACACCTCAGTGAAACATATGTGAACCACGTAAACTGAGTACTCAGTAAAAGGATGTATATGAAGATAGCTAATATAAACCTGTATATGAATATAGCTAATATAATGCTGAACTGAGGCGCGCTGTTAGAATGTTTGAAAAATATCCTATTTGAAAAGAATTTAAGTATATCCATAGGTGCTATTGCTGTTTGGAGAACTGTATATAAATTGAGTTTTAAAAAGCATTTGGCGCCATTAAACAATCACACGCTTCAAAAACAATCGCTTTGCAATTCTCTGGATTTAGCACAGCACTCAGAAATCAGAGAAAGTGTGTACTAGATGTTTCCCTGGCACTCTAGCTGTTGGTCCTCGGTGACCACCGCTGGCACGTGAAGGGTATTTCTGCAACATAACTATGGAAGATGCTGTGCGTTGGACATAAGGCACCAAGAAACGAGCACTGTGGCAAAACAAGTGTCTTAATGAATCAGCCCAGCATATCCTGCCCAGAAAACCTATCCATGCCTGTCTTCATCATCAGCATACTAAAGTAATCCAGAGACTTTATTTGACATTCATGACAACTTATTACAAATTTAAATCAAGTGAGCATATAAAAAAAACTGGCCTGGAGTCAGAACTATACATTCTGAACATAGCTCTAACTTTGTGTATAATGAAGAATATGTCCATGCAAACTCTCTGAGTCTCACAGTGGGCTCTGTGCTCTGACTCTGGGAAGCTATGGGTCCTGCAGACAAAAGTCAAAGAGAATATTGTAGCCTATGTCACCATCACCATCATTATTAAATATTGTTGCTGTTGTTGTTGTTTTGGTTTTTTGATAAAAGGTTTCTCTTTGTCCTAGAATTCACTCTGTAGACCAGGCTGGCCTCAAACTCACAGAGATCCACCTGCTTCTGCCTCCCCAGTGCTGGGATTAAAGGCGTGCGCCACCACCACCAGGCTCTCCTATCATTTTTAAAAAGATTTGTCGTGTGTGTGTGTGTGTGTGTGTGTGTGTTTGCGCACGCGCGCGCGCAGATATGTGCACATGAGTGCCCGTGGAGGCCAGAAGACAGTGTTAGATGCCCCAGAGCTAGACATAGTTGTGAATTTCCTAGTGTTGGTGCTGGGAACTGAACCCGGGTCCTCTGGAAGAGCAGCAAGCTCTCTTAACCACGGAGCTCTGTCCCTAGCCCCAGTTTCTATACTTTTAAATCATAGCGTTCTCTGTACATTGGGCTTTCCCCTTTAGTTAGTTACTTCTAGAGTCTGCATAGCTGCATAGCTCACTGTTGGCTTTGGCCCCGTCCCAGGAAGACAGCTCTGCGTGGCTTACAATGTGCTGTAGCCCGATTCACTTAATTCAAGCAGCTCTCCTATTGTATCTACAGTTCTGCATTCCGAGGAAAACTAGACAAAAGTGCTATCCCCGGTGACTTGGTTGTGGTGTGTGTGTGTGTGTGTGTGTGTGTGTGTGTCTGTGTGTCTGTGTGTGTGAGGGTGAGGTCAGAGGACAGCTTGAAGGAGCCAGTTCTCTTCCTACCAGGTAGGTTCCCAGGGACCAAACTCAAGCCATCAAACTTGGGAAGCCAGCTCCTTTACTTGCGGAGTCTTCTCCACGGCCCAACTTTGCTGCGTTATAACAGAACTACCTCTCCAGCAGTGGAAGTTTCCTTTTCCCTCAGAGCTGTACGTAATCAATGATAAATGCTACAACAGTAATAATCACATCTCAGTTTGGTTCCCTTGTGCAAAACACAGCTGTAATGAGTGTGTATTTGGGCAGGAAGGAAATCTTTCGAGGGTGTGGGGACAGAACAGATGTGAAAGGATCGAGTATTTTACTTTCTAAACTATCGCTTTTATTTATTTATTTATTTATTTACTGTGTTTGTATCCATTTGTGTGTGCGTCGGTGGGTGCCACAACAGGTGTATCGTGATCAGAGGAAAGCCTGTGGAAAATCCTTCTCAGCTTCTTTGATGTTGGTTGCAGGGTTCAGATGTGGGTCAACAAGGCTTCCCAAATACTAGGCGAATTCTCTACCACTGAGCCACTCCTCAGCACCGATAGGAAGCTTTGTGCATACACGTCATAGAATGGCCGAACCAAGCCAATTAACACATGCATCACCTTACATACAAGCCTTTGTTGTCATGAAGATACTTTGTAAGGTATCCCGTGGTGTATACGTGCTTTGCTCCTGCAGCAGTAAATGCAAGCCGTCTCTTTGACATGCTAATTTCTCTTCCCCACACACACACACACACATGCAGCAGGTTGGATTAGATAGCAGCTTTTTGGGGAGTTTCTGCCAATTTCCACCATGGTTGTACACACTGACAGTCTCACCAACAAAGAGCCAAGGTCACCTTTGTGTCGTATAAGCCGTGTAGGGTCTTGCGCATTCAGTTAGCTGAATCATCCCGAGCCCTTACCTCCTCTCTCTCTCTCTCTCTCTCTCTCTCTCTCTCTCTCTCTCTCTCTCTCATTGCAACAGACTCAGTGATAGTTTCATGGTCCTAACCATAGTTACGGTTGTCCTAACTTGCCCTTCTCTAACGATTAGGAATGCAGAACATTTTTCTCATGCCTTTGAGCCATTCCTGTGTGTTCCTTTGAGAAATGTCTACTGGAGTTCTTTGCCCATTTTTTGAATAAGGTGATTTTTTTTACTTGCTATTAAGTTCTTTGAGTTCCGTGGACATATTAGACATCAACCCCTAGCCAAATGTACAGTTGGCTAATGTTTTCTACCACTCTGTAGCTTGTTTCTTCATTTCTGTTGCTTTTCCTAGAAGCTGTTTGTTTTCTTGTAGTCTTGTCCATCTACTTTTGCTTTCATTTCCTATGAAATAAGTTAGAAAATCAAACCAATTACGGAGTTTCTAAAGTTGTATCTTACTAAATGAATTTTTACTAAATAAATAATTGAATTTTTGCTTAAGCTTCTAGCATCTCAGTTTAATAAGGTTTTGGCATAAAAATTTCCAGAAAATTTGGTATCCATCTGGCCTCAGTTAAACATAATCCAAACTAACCAAGAAGTCCGGCAACTTTCACCTTCCGGCAAATATGGATGTGGCCGCTGTTCATTTCCGGTGTTGCTTCCTCCTCCCTGGCTTCGTTCCTCTCCACTGTGCTTTGCCAACCAGCAGAAGATGAATGGGCGCCCGTGAGTCACACCCACTCTGTCTACACACGCATCTGTACAAATACAGACGACAGAAGGCTGAGGGAGAAGAATGAGCCGCGCCTCCCCTGGGCTTCACTCCACAAAAGGAGCATTAGTCTAGTTGGTTTTCCAAAATGGAATCCAGGCTCCTTGGTGTCCCCTCAGGCTTGGGCTGGTTGATAGGAAAAGCCTGTAATCCTCTCAGTCACTTTGTCTGGAGAATGGATCAAAGCCAGGCGCTTTTACTGGGTGGCACGACTTTTCAAAACATACCACGGAAAGGAGAGCTGCAAGTTAGCATCTTTTGTGTGATGCAAGCCCAATAGAGCCCACGTGCTTGCCTCTCCACCAGGGCCCGAGTCACCACACCCGTGGGTTGAAGGTCCTGCATTCCTCATTAATTCTATTCAGCTGGGCAGTGAGCTTCCTGTCGGGAAACCTGGGCCAGTGTCTGTACCCCGTGCTTCACAGAAACTTAGCATTGAGACATACTGCAAAGAGACGCACCAAGCAATGCAAAGAAAACTACTAGGCCATCACCAGCTTGTCACAAAAGCCATGCTGCCCAGATTCCCACACACCGGCTACGGGATTTATGGCCATCTTCAGAAAATGGTAAGATGGTGTCTACAGAGGACTGTGGTCACCGCACCATCCGAATTCTGCTTGGCTTCAGTCTCCAGAAGACCTCCATTGTCAATGCTTCATCTCCACTAAAAACAAGAACTTTAATTTGGATGTCTAAAGCGTAGGTCAGGACCAGCAAGATGGCTCCGTGTGTAAAGGCTTGCTACACAAGCCTGAAGATCTGAATCTGATGCTCGGAACCTGCATAAAGGTGAAGGAGAGACCCAGCTCCGCGGAGTTGTTCTCTGCCCTCCATACACATCTTGACACACAAAGGCACACACAATTTCTTAAAACTATAAGCCAGCTCTTTTTCACACGATGTTAGTATTATAATGTACCAGTGGAAAACCACGTTGTATTCTAAGCTGCTGGACATAGAGAAACAAGAAAATGAGATGAATTTAGTAGAAAAGGCAAAGGTTGGAGCAGAGTCATTTTTAGCCAACATTGCACCGCCTAAAAGAGAGTGATTGGAACCATGTTTAATTTGAGCACCCCCAGAAACATCTGAACATTCCCGCCGAGGCCCAATCCAGACCAGCAGCCTCCCCTGCCCATCAGTTCCTAGGACTTTACGGGGAGGCGTGGGCAGTTACTCCTGCAGCTTCACATCCTTGACCCTTGGCGATCACACAGAGGGAGGTAGTGAGACACGCTCAGGTCTCTGTGGGGACAGGGCGCTTTGCATGATAAGCTCAAGAATGTTGAGACTAGGGGCTGGAGAGATGGCTCAGAGGTTAAGAGCATTGCCTGCTCTTCCAAAGGTCCTGAGTTCAATTCCCAGCAACCACATGGTGGCTCACAACCATCTGTAATGGGGTCTGGTGCCCTCTTCTGGCCTGCAGGCATACAGACAGACAGCATATTGTATACATAATAAATAAATATTTAAAAAAAAAGAAAAGAAAAAACTCTAAAAAAAAAAAAAGAATGTTGAGACTACCAAAAATTCTCCCCCCCCCTCCCCCGGACATCAGGACATCAGCTGGTTCCATTTGACGTCGCTGAAGTTTTTATTCCTCCTGCTCTGTCTTTTGTGTCTCTGTGTCTGGTTCCATCCATCTGGCTTCTCCTGACCTTTCTGCTTTCTCTGACTCTGTATAGGTCCTGGGGGTCCCTACAGAGGATACGTGGCCTGGCGTCTCCAAGCTGCCTAACTACAATCCAGGTAATATTGACCTAAGTGTCTAAATGTTTCAAGAACTGGTGATGGCGGGAGAGTATTGGCCACAGAGTGTCCATCTGGCACTAGACCCACCAAAGATAGATATATTTCCCAACGAATTCTTCTATTTATTTGTCTATTTATTTAAAACAGGGTCTGACTGTATAGCCCTAGTTGGCTTGGATCTTGTTGTGTAGACCAGGTTAGCCTCTACCTCTTATGTGCTGGGATTTCAGGCTTGTACCACCATGCTCAGCTAAATCCTTTTATGAAAAAGACAGATAGTGAAATACTAACTGAGGTTAAATCAGTTCCCCAATGCTATAAAACCTAGGCAGCAAGGTGAAAACCATTGGAAAGGCCTATTACCATGGTTTGTCTACATCCGTTTCCAAGTCCACCATGGCTCCAAGGAACAGCTTGCTTTGAATCATACAAGCAAGGAACCGTTCTCACTGCCGAGACTGTGACCATCCCTGAGTTTATCTGCTACATGGTTGAGCCTTGCATAAAAGGGAAGTTAAAGCAACAGAGGGAGCTAGAGGCACGGGAGACCAAAGACAAGCCAGGTAAGATGCCTCCAGAGAATCATCTCTCTGCCTGGCAAATGGTCATGTCTGTCATACATGGCCCTACACAAGGGACGGCCAGGGATAGATAAGGAAGCATCAGAAGTGTTGTCCACAGGGAGATTCTCTGAGACGTGGTCAGATAAGAAGTCATGTGGTGGCATTGAGACAGATGTGAGGAGACAGCCAATGAGCCAGAGGATGAAGATGGGCTCTCTGGAAGCCAGAGAAGCAAGCAGAGGCCTTGGCGATGCTAACCTCTTCCTGGCAGGGCTAAGGAGGTGCACATAAACAGATAAGGATATGCCTGGGATGAAAGTGTTCCAAGACAGGATTATATCCTCTTTATTTTCTGACATCGTCCCATTCCTAACCCCCAAATTTTACCCAAGTGTCATCGTAGACTTTGGTGTGAGGTTCTTCTGGAAGCGTTTTGTGAGAGCGAGAAATTGCAGGGAGACTTCAAAAGCGGTTAAGGAAGAAAACAAAAATCAGGGTGTGGTGGTAACAACCCATAATCCCAGCATTTGGGAGGCTAAAGCATGAGAAACTTAGGTCTGAAAAGCTCACTGTGTGTTTGTGTGTGTGTGTGTGTGTGTGTGTGTGTGTGTGTGAGAGAGAGAGAGTGAGAGAGAGTGTGTGTGTGTGTGTGAGAGAGAGAGAGAGAGAGAGAGAGAACCAAGAACAAGAGGAATAGACGACAGACATGAGAAGGAGGCGTTCTCCCTTTTTATCCTGCATCTATTATTTTTACTCAGAAAGCTATGCATAGCCACCAGTCCTTTTAAACTAATCAGAGTTAATGAAACGCCACAGAATGTAGATGAGGTTTCTCTTTCATTTCCCGGCTGCCCAGACCCGAAATAACTACACAGAAAGTGTATTAATTAAAACACTGCTCAGCCTATTAGCTCGGGTTTCTTATTAACTCACTCTTACATCTTAAATTAACCCATTTTTATTATTTTATATTTTACCATGAGGCTCGTGGTCTACTGGTAAGGTTCCCTTTAGTGGCTTGCGTCTTTTTCCTTCAGCAGCTACATGTCATTTCTCTGACTCCGCCTGCTCTCTCTCTGCATCTCTGTTCTGATTTCCTGCCTGGCTTTACTCTGTTAAGCCATTGGCCTAAAGCAGCTTCTTTTTTCAACCAATAGCAATAAAACATATTCACAACATACAGAGGGGAATCCCACATCAATGGAAAGCTAAGGATTAACTATAAAATCCTTTCAACTTCTTTGTGAACGAATGTATTACTTACTTAATGGCCTTAGAGTTATCTAGAAATGCTGCACTGTTTCTAACTATTTTTCAAGAGTTTGACCCTCTGGTCTTGAGGTGTAGCATAGTGTCTTCTCCTTTGGCGTGACGTGGAGGCAAGAAGAAAAGGCTGTTTACAGGGATGATGGTTCAGTGTGCATTAGCTCCTGGATCTGGTTGCCATAGTTTCCGGGAGACTCTTGTTCTTATCATTTCCTGTCTAGCCTGTACTCCCTCCCCATCCATTCCTCTTTGCCTGGGTGAGAATGGACCCCCTTAACCTCCCTCTGCTCCCTAACACAGACACCGACGGAAGTTTAGAATCAGAAAGCATTTAGGCACACGTGCACACACAGGTGCTGCGGTGAGCTTGGGCAGCTGCCCCAAACTTCAAATACTTGGTTTTCAGGTTAGTGTAGGCAATGACGAGATATCCCTATGACAGATGGTCATCAAAGCTAGGAACACGGCCAGACTCTTCCCTGCCAGATTCCATGCTAGGAAGATAACCGGGATCTGGGAAAGCAGAGAGAAACATGTCACTCTGTTCCATTGCCATGGTGTCAAAGCTGTGTACCAGTTTCCAGTATCGGCAGAGCTTGACTTTTGCACTGTTGTTGTCTACTTTGGCTTAATTCAGAAAAGTAAAACCATTCTGGGAGCTTGCAATCTGCTAGACCCGTGCAAGGCGCTAGTCCCTGGATGGATGTGGTGTGTTCTTGAGTCTGCAGAGCATGGGTTTGGACTCATTCCCCGGTTCTCTCTGTGACTGCAGTGTTTATTATGTTCCTATGGCTTTGGGGAGGCTTGTGGTTGTGGACCAGGGTGAGCATAGGGAAGGTAGTGTACCCTTAACCACAGCCAGGATTTCCAGCCCTGCCTTTGTAAACCTTGAGCTTCGAGAGTATCTCGGGCATGGGGTTGGTACTGTATTAATAACTCAATCAAAAAGGAGCGTATTCTAAAGGGATCATCAAGATTCCTGTCCCAGGAACAAGTCCTATGAATGAGCAAGTCTCTCTTGAGGCACTGAGGAGGAGGTGGGTCCCAGAGCATTGCGAGTTACCCCTCCTATCCAACTGCAGCCCTATTCCTATTAACCCCCTCTCCACCCTCCCCTGCCCTACCCGATTCTCAGACTCTAGTGATCTGCTACTTTACCCTCTCCTTCCTATGAGATCAACGTTTACCTTTTGCATAGAAGTGAGGAAACAGGAGCCCTGTCTTCCTGTCATCGTAGCCCAGCTGCCATAGTGTCCTCCATGCTACCAGAACTGACAGAATCCTATGGTTTTCATGGACACAGTATTCTGTTACAGGTACACAACACCTTTCCCGCTTCCCTTTTCACTTCAGCGGCCGCCTACCTTGGTGTAAGCAGTGCCGCAGTGAACACCAAGTGTAACTGTGTGCACAACATAAACTGGCTTCAGTTCCTTTGGGTACACGCCCAGTTGTGACACTGAAGGATCACAGGGTTTTTATTCCGGGTTTTCTCTTAAATAAATATCTGCACAATTTTCCTTAATGGCTGTACTCATTTACATTCCTACCGATGGTGAGAACAGTGAGAGGTTTTCCTTTACTATATCGTTACCATCATTTATCATCACCACCACCATCACCACCACCATCACCACCACCACCACCACCACCATCACCACCACCACCACCACCATCATCACCACCACCACCATCACCATCACCACCATCACCATCACCACCACCACCACCACCTGGTGCTCCACATCTCCAACGCGTCCTTGGGGCTGCACTTCCGGAGGCAGCTTCTCTACTGGTTCTTGTAAGCACCCCC